GATTACTGTACAGACGAGAACCTTACCAACTAAAGTAGTAGTTTTTTGGAAGAGGCCAAAAAAGTTTTCTTGGAGTATACATGGTACCCCAATAGAACAGTGAAAAATCTATTTAGGCCTAATATTTAGTGAAACCCTAAACTGGAACGCCCATATGGCCTGCATAAAATCCTCAGCAACTAACATTATTGGAGTGATATTCAGGTTCTACTATACCAAGGGAGGCTTCCTAATAGATCTGGCCTTTAAACTTTTTGTCAGCAAAGTTATTTCTCCAGGGGTGGAAAGAACAAACACTCACTAGTCTGGAGGCAATTAAAAACCATTTTCTGAGACACATTTTGGCACTGCCAAAGGGGTCGCCAGTGGTTTTTACTGTGGGCAGAATTTGGTCTCCCTTCAATTAGAACTCGTGCCCATGTGGCTGTTTTAAAATCATGGAAGAAATATCACCCGTCAAAAACTGATTCACTTAGTAAAACAAGCTTTTGTTTGTTATTAAGTAAGGACAAAATTCGCTCCAACTTTTTAAACAATATCATTTCTTGCTATACATCCCCGGCCAATTTACTTTGACCATTAGGTAATAATTATGATTTGCGGGACTGGGTGTACAATGGGGATGCCTTAATCAACAACTTGTTAATTGTCTAGACAAAATCTGTTCCATGGTATAAAGCTATACAGAAAGACCATTTAAGGGCTTCATTTTGGCAGACATCACTGTACACAATCTTAGAATAACATTTACAGCACTACACTTTCAGGCTATACCAACGGAACTACTCACTGGACGATAGATATCTAGAAATAACGCAGGAACAACGCATATGTGTTTTCAGAAATTCTGTGGAAGATCTTTTACATTATGTTATGATCTGCCCATTGTACTCGGAACTCAGAAGTAAATTTTTGACTAGGATAACAGATCAACTGTGCGATTTTGCTGTCAGGTGTGGACTCCTTTGTTTCCAACAAGGTGGCACTTTTTGCATTAGCAGCTAGGAGATGGATGTTTGCTTTTTAAAAATTAAAGGTAATTGGCATTTTTGATTGTGAAAGTGAATATCTAAAGATAGATGTTGTATTTTAAAATTTTTGTATGTTTTAAACTGTAATGGCCAAATACAATAAACTTGACTGACTGACTGACACTAAAATATACAAGGGCATTACAGTAGTGGCCTTTTTGTTTTCAGTCACTTTCTTAATAATAATTAATAATTTCTAGCATAACATTTAGGAAAAAAATCCAGCGGTACCTTAAAGACTAGCAAGACCTGCACCAACTGGGCTGGGGAAAAGACCACAGGAGAGCGCTGCTGGAAAGGGGAGTGGGGTGGGTTTGTTTGTTTTTTGCCTTTTCTAAACTGCTAAAGTACTAAACTACTGGGGAGCATTAACTGAGGTTGCTTTGAGATAGGACAGAGTTTAAGGGTGAGTGGGTACTTGTAGCCTGCTGGAGAGTGGTGGATTTGTCTGGGTCTGTTTGTGTCTTTTGTCTGGTCTGTTGCTCACTGAGCAAGGTCTGTTTGCCTGGGGCTGATTGCAGATCCCACCCTCTGCTGTTGCTCGTGGGAGGCAGGGTCTATGGGCCTCTGAATGGTAAGGCTCCCCCTAGGCAGAGGCGCAAGCTTTTTTTAAAAAAAGCTTTTATTTTCAGTTATACAAACTTTACATTCCGTCTGTACATCTTACATATATAATAGCATCATTGGACACTTGACAAATCTTCTATCCACTTAAACACCCTTAACCATCTCTTCGCATGTACCTTTTCATTTTTATTTTGAAGCATCAAACTCAAATCATCCATTTGTGCCAACTCCAGTATTTTAAATGCTAATTCTTCTCTAGAGGGTATTATTTCAGATTTCCAATTTTTGGCCAATAGTCATCAAGCAGCAGTTATTATATAAGATAATAAGTATGATTCTTGCACATTATATCCTTTTGGGATCATATTTAACAGATATATTTCTGGTTTTAATGCTAAGTTTTTTTCTAGAATTTCTTGAATTATCTTCCACACCATCTTCCAAAAGCCTTGTATTTTACTACATTTCCACCACATAAGTTGGAGTACCCAGAATAACATTTAGCTAATTTATCCGGGGACCAGTACCATCTGTGGAACATTTTATATACATTTTCCTTATATGAAATGGCTTTCATATATTTAACAGTTTTCCAAATTTTTGACCATTGCTCAAATTCTATGTTCTCTCCTAAATCTTTCAACCATGTAATCATTGCAGTTTTAATTATTTCATCTTTTTCATAATCGTCCAGCAAAAAACCCCCGTAAAGCTTCTGTATTAGTTTATCGTTTGAGGACAACCAGATCTTATCCAATTCATTTTTTTGATCTTCAAATCCTCTTAACATATCCTTTTTGTATCTGTCTCGTAACATTATCTGTTCCCACAAGGATAAATTATTTTCTTCTTGTAGTTTTTCTTCTGTTTTTAATTTATTATTTCTGCTTAGCAAGGTCTGATAACTTTCTTTTTTACTCATTGTTATTAGTGATGGGTTAATAAATGCTTCTAAGGGAGAGACCCATCTTGGAATTTTCCTATAGAATATTTCTTTTATATTGCTCCATATTTTATTCAGTGCTCCTCTTAACATATGTCTTCCAAAATTTGAATGGATTTTATCTTTCCCATACCATATGTAAGCGTGCCCCATATACAAATCATGTCCTTCTAATGCAAGGATTCTTGCATTTTCCAAGGTTATCCATTCTTTTATCCAAACTAGGGCGGCCGCTTGATAGTATATATACCAGTTAGGAACATTCATTCCCCCTCTTTCCCACCAGATCATCTGCAAAAGCCTGTAACTTATATTCTTCCCCTTTTATTTTTAAACCTTCTATTTGCGTATTCTTCCTTATAGCATCATTTAAAGATTCTAGTGCAAAGATAAACAATAAAGGCGAAATCGGGCATCCCTGTCTAGAACCCTTCTGAATTTCTATCATATTAGCAACATCGCTTAGAATTTTATCCTTCAAGTCAGAGGCGCAAGCCTTTAGCATGAGCCAAAAATGAGAGTCAAAGAGCTCTTGGCCTGTGGTTCTTAGCCTGGGGATCAGACCTAGGACCCTGCATCACTGTATATACCTTTAAACCAGTAACCAGTTATGAAGGTAGAAAGCCAGCAGGGGAGTAAGAGCTATCCACTGTTTTGCAGAGTGTCACATGTACGATTATCCAGTGGGTGAAAATCATGGGTGTGTCCTTGTTGCAAAGAGCTCATGGCTTTCAGGGAGCAGGTTCATTCCCTTGAGGCTAGGGTTTCTGACCTGGAGAGGCCAAGGTAGAGAGAGAGGTCTGAGGAAGAGACCCTCAGGGACTTACCAGAACAGTTCCATTCCTGTGCTGATAACTCTTCTGCTGTTGTGGAGAGTGAGAGTCTCGAAGTCGAAGGACATTGGTCTGAGGAGGAGGAATGTGATCCCTTAGAAGGGAGGGACCCCTTCCTTGGGTGACAGACTGGTATCCTCTCATACTGAAGATACTCCTGGGGGGAGGTGAACTTCCGGTAGTAGGTGACTTGATAATTAGGAATATAGAGAGTGGGGTCTGTGACAGGTGTTTTGACAGCATGGTGACTTGCAGACATCACACACTGTCCAGAGAGGTTGATAGTGCTGGGGAGGAGTCAGCAGTCATGGTGCACGTTGGCACCATTGACATTGGGAAATGTAGTCGTGTGGTCCTGGAGGAAAGATTTACGTTACCAGGCAGAAAATTAAAGGCCAGGACCTCAAAGGTAGCATTCTCAGAAGTGCTGCCAGTTCCATGCTCAGGGCCAGCTAGACAGGCACAGATTAGGGGTCTCAGCTCATGGATGAGAAAGTGGTGCTGGGAGGAAGGGTTTAGATTTGTGTAGTCTGGGCCTCTCTCTTGGTCCTGGTAAGTCCCCCTGCCAGCCAGCTAATCAGCGACAGAGCAGGGCCTGAGGGTGGGGAATTCTCTGTCTCCAGTGGGGTGGGTGGCAACTTGGCAAAAACTAGAGTTGCCAACCTCCAGGTGGGAGCTGGAGAGCTCCTGGTCTCAAGGTTATAGAGATCAGTTTCCCTGGAGATAATGGCTGCTTTAGAAGGTGGCCTATGTGGTCTTATCCCTCAATGAGACTCCCTCCTCTCCCCCAACCCTGCCCTTCCTAGGCTCCAACCCCCCACATCTCCAGGAATTTCCCAGCTCAGAGTTGGCAGCTCTTGATACAGGGGTGCACCTGGGAGCACATCTCTAGCACAGAGGAAGGGTGGGATTAGTAATAACAATTATTAATAATTGTTGCCGCCAATTAATAATTGTTGCTGCAATAAAACGATAAACTAAATTTCTGAATTGCCCCATCCCTGCGTACAGTGAGCTCTGGGTGATTTACAACCTCTGGGTGGGGAAATACTTGGAGATTTGGAGGGTGGAGCCTAGGGAGGGTGGGGTTTGGGGAAGGGAGGGGCTTCAGCACAGTTTAATGCCATACAGTCCACCCTCCAAAGCAGCCATTTTCTCCAGGGGAACTGATGTGTCGCCTGTAGGTCATTAGCAATAACGGGAGATCTCCAGACCCTGCCTGGATGCTCACAGCCCTGGTCAGAACAGACGACTGCACAATCTGAAAGCTGGAAGGATCGGGCTGGGGGGCAGAAGGGGTGGAAGAAGGACCAGCAGCCAATGAGGCTTGGGAGGAACAGGAAGAGAATGTGGGATTGTCACATAAAAGTTATTCCTTTAAAGATCTTGGCTATAAAAACATTCGTCACCTCACTACAAGCTCCGCCCGAGCCAATTTTTTGCATACGCTTGAAGCAGAATTGATTTGGTTGTGTAGAGGTGTTCTGGCTAATTGCACCTTGGCTCCTCCCCGCTGATTTCATTTTTAATCTTAGTGCTGGAAGGAGCTGCTGGAACAGACGTCGACTTGCTGGTGTTTGAGATCTTCTTGGACAGCGTTCCAGTTGTGCTTTTGCTGTGCAGCAGAATGGCTGGCCCTCCACCTTCAGACGAGCTCATATTTTTTGTGAATGGCAGAAAGGTAAGGATTGAGTATTTTGTCGTGTGGTTTGGTGTCTTCCCTTTTTTTAATGTGGAAGAATCGTTGCAAACTTTTCATAAGGACAGCTAGCGATGTAGGGATAGGGGGTTCTCTCTTAAAGGGGATTTTTCAAACCAATTACATTTGAACATGGCATCTGTGGCATCGGACTTATTCGCAATGTCGTTTTTCACCAGCTGAGATTGTCGTGTGAGTGTGTCGTTGTTATTCATGGGCAAATAAAACCATTGTAATGTATCTTGGCGGCAACAACAACAAAAAACTTCCTCACATGGCTGAATGCCCAGGTCTGATTAAAATGGATAGGAGTATCTAGCAGTAATAGACAGTTTAGTTTGAAAATAAACTCAGCTATTTTTAAGTACAGTTTATCTGATCTACTAATAGATTATCATACCACTGCATTAAAAAAATTAATGTAGGAGTTGTCTATAAACTTAGGGAGTCAGTGCTAGGGATGCCAGCCTCCAGGTGGGACCTGGGGATCCCCCGGAATTACAGCTCATCTCCAGACTACAGAGATCAGTTCCGCCAGAGAAAATAGATGCTTGGGAGGATGGACTCTCGGGCACTGGACCCCCCACTGAGGCCTGTGTCCTCCCCAGGCTCCACCCCCCAAATATCCAGGAGTTTCCCAACCTGGATCTGGTACCCCTACCCCCTTATCCCCCTGCGGATGGTCAGGGGGGACCTAGCAACACTATACCCTGGAATTACAGTTCATCTCCAGACTATGGAGATCAGTTCCTCTGGAGGAGATGAATGCTTTGGAGGGTGGGCTCTGTGGCACTGCACCCCACTGAGGTCTCTGTCCTCCCCAGGCTCCATCCCAAAATCTCCAGGAGTTTCCCAACCAGGGTCTGGCCACCACACTCCCCCCGTCTCCCACCAGTGGCCACGGGAGACCTGGCAACCCCAGTTGCCCTGCTCTCATCTCCAACTGGAAAGTCACCAGTAAAAGAGAGAAAAAAAGGAATCAAATCAAATTCCAAACTTCTTTTTGAAAAGTAGGTCACATGTGAAACCCAGAACTGACATTGCCACTCAGGTATTTATTTTCCCTTTTTTACCCTCTGCGGGAGTAAACAAATATTCTGTTTCAAATGCTTAGACCAGAAGGGGGAACAGTATGCACGGATTTTCCAGGTTGGTTAAGCAATTTGATCTTTTCGAAGAGGGACTTTGTTGAAACAGGAAGAAAATTGCTATGTGAATCTGTTGTATTTTGCTTTGGATCAGGGAATCTATTACAATAAAAAATACGTTAATAAGCTCTGCAAACACAGATCAGCCTGTGTGCACCCATTCCTCTGACTAGTGCTCGCACTAGGGGTCATTGTTTTATACAAGGAGTAAGAGCCATTAATAACAAACCTGTTTGCTTAGGGCTATATTACAGAAAAATTTCATTTAGCAAAAAATACTGGGTAAGGATGCCCCCTCTCGGTTTTTATTTTAAGATATTGGTCAGTAATAACATCTTATATTTATAAAACAGACATACCTTTTCCTCTTGCTTTTTATTATAACAATAATTAAGCGCTATCAGGTCACAACCAACTGATAAGAACGTAAGAACATAAGAGAAGCCAATGTTGGATCAGGCCAATGGCCCATCTAGTCCAACACTCTGTATCACACAGTGGCCCAAAATACCAGGTGCCATCAGGAGGTCCAGCAGTGGGGCCAGGACATGATAATGACCCCTCGTGGGGTTTTCAAGACAAGAGATGAGCAGAGGTGGCTTCCCATTGCCTGCTTGACCGTGAACTTCCCTGATGGTCTCCCATCCAAGTATTAACCAGGGTTGACCCTGCTTATGTTCTGAGATCTGTTGAGATCGGGCTAGCCTAGGCTACTCAGGTTGCTCCTTTCTGGCTGCGGTCAGACATGCCTTTAGATCTGACTCAGCTGCAAATGCCTGACAGATCTGAAGGGCACAATCAGACAGCAACATCTGGGAAAGGTCCTGCAGCTGTTGGCACCCCATGCTGCCCCGCCTCAGAAGCGGAGTTAA